GAGAGAGAGAGAGAGAGAGAGAGAGAGAGAGAGAGAGAGAGAGAGCAGTCTGTTTCCCCTAGCCCTGTTTTGTTTTCTCTAATTGGTCCTGGGGGAGGCGAGAAAATTGGACAGAGGCTGGGCCGGGCGAGCTGGGCTGCCTTTAATTGGCTCCTTTTTTTTAACTGGAGGGGAATCAAACAGGAGAGCGAGCGACAAAGGGTGGGAGAGCGAGAGACCGAACGCGGAGACGCTAGGAGGAGGGAGGAAGAAGGGAGGGAGGGAAGGAGGGAAGGAGGGAGGCGGGGGGAGCGCGGAATGAAAAGCTCGGAGTGGGGGGAAAGCAGCACAGCGAAGCCCAAGTTGCGGAGCGATTGGAGCGCTTCCGCGACCCGGAGCCCAGCGGCCGCGGCGCCCGGGATCCCGGCCCGGCCCCGCCCGCTGGGGGCCCCTGCCGGCGGAGGCCGCCGGGCGGGGGCGGGGAAAATCAACTTGGGGCGCCACGCAGCTCCGCTCTTGGGAGAGCACCGCGCCGGGGAGCGCCACCTCGGCGGCCAGACGGCGCGAGCCGAGCGCGGCTAGCGGAATCCGCCAACGGCATCCGCGCTGCAGCCCCGGCCTTGGCGAGAGCGCGAATATTTCTCAAACGTCTCAAACTTTCCTCCTTTCCCCGCTTTTCGGGGTCTCTTTTGACTGGAATTGTTTTCCTGATTCCCGCGGGGCGCCCGGGCGCAATTCCTCCCCGGGGTTCCTCTGTGGCTGGGGTAACTTCGCGGACCCGGGGCCCCGTGGCTCTCACCCCTCGGCGAAGCCCAGCCCGCGCTGCTCTCCCGCTCAGGAGGGCCGGGACCCGGGCTCCTTCGCCTCCGGGAGGGCGCCCAGCCCGGCTCCCTTGCACCCGCCGCAGGACTGGAGACAGCGGATTAACCAGAGAGGAGCTGGGGCCTCTCCGCACCCGCTTCGCGGAGGGACGTCCTCTGGGCGGGGAAACAAGTTTATCAGTCGTCGGTGGCCTGTTGGATCCAAGCTCCACCGCCGACGCAGAGGGGTTCCTGCGCCCAGTATTCCGAGCTGAGAGCCCTGGGGACTTGGGGCGGCTCCACAACCGGGCTCCTCGGGCCGGGGCGCTGGCTGCTGCGCCGGGCGCGCGGAGGCACCCGGGGCCGGGCCAGCGCCCCCTGCGTCCCCACACGGGCAGCGGCGCCGGAGGAGAAGCCCGGGTCGCCGCCGCCGCCACCACCGCCTCCTCAGTCTGCGGGCCTCCGTCGCCGCTGCCGCCCCCTCCGTCGCCTCTCGGGGAAGGGGGAGACGCAGGAGGCATTGCGGGGCTCCGGCGGATGCGCCCCCCGCCGCCTTTTGGGCTGCGCCGCCTCGCGGGGATGAAGCACCGGCCGTGAAGATGGAGGTGACCTGCCTTCTACTTCTGGCGCTCATCCCCTTCCACTGCCGAGGACAAGGAGTCTACGGTAAGAGCCCGCGTCCGGCTCCACGCCGGCTTAGTACCGCGCGGAAACTTTGCAAGAGGCGCAAAGTGCGCGCTGCCGGGGTTCGGTGGGGACCCGGGCTCGCACTCTGGAGTGGATGCCCGGGTCTCCGCCCTTTTCCAGAGCGCGAGGAGATCTAGCTAGCGGCTTCGGAGCACGCAGACCGGTCGTAGGGTCTGGCGTGAAGCCGGTGATGCCAGGGGAAGGTACCCACTTTCTCAAACCCTGTCAGGGGCGACAGTGCCTTGGAACCCTAAAACCTAGTGGGCTCCGGAGACCCCGACAGACTCCATCCCAAGGGGCTGGGGCAGCGACTTGCACCGAAACCTGGTTCTACTCCGGCTCGGCCTCCGGAGTGGAAGCTGAGCGATGCGCGACCCGGAATTGCGCGCGGCTTGAGGACGAGCTGGCTGCCGGCACCGCGGCCGAGCCGCGGGCTCACCTTCCTCGCTCTCGCTGCGGCTTCGCTTCTTTTACTCAATTCTTGACAGCCGGGGCGGATGCCAGCATCCCCTGAATCCGGCGCCCAAAACCCCGCCAGCATCCCTTTTCGGACCTCTTCTGAGCCAGTTCTTCCTGTCTTTGGTTCCCAGCTACAAAATCTCAGCCCCACCTTCCTTCTCCATGTGTGCACACGCAGAAACATTCAGCCACCGTCCCCCAAAACCGCTGCACGCACCCACCGGTTACATGTCTAAACTCTGCCTCCTGACTCGCAGCTTTGCTCCCGCGTCCCCACGTCTCGCTCTCAGGCGCCAAAGGGACTCTGGTCACCCCTTCTCCCTTCTTTCCCGTGGGTTTTCCCTGGGAAAGGTTACAAGAGCAGGCATCATCCCTCTCAGGGACTCTCCCTCCGAGTTCTAGCAGCCCCCAATGCCCGGACCCCACAGCACAAAAAGTCAGTCTCAGGGCCCAGTGGCCCTTACTTCGCCTTCTCCTGACTACAGGGCGGTCTGTGCAGGCCACTTTTTAACGATGTGCAGCTGAAGTGGGGAAGGTTTTTTCTTTCTCAGGGGAGGGCCTAGTTATTCACCTTTACATCAGGGAAGAGAGTTTGACCTGTTCTATTGGTGAGGGTCAGAAGCATTGTCCCCCGCCGCCACCCTACCCCTGGCTGCCAGCCTCAGGTACAGATGCTAAATGCTTCTCTCTGGGGGTGCCTCACAGGAGGGAGGGGTGTCCTGAGGGGTTTCTGGGAGGTGAAAAGCTCCTGGCCCTATACAGCTATCTTGGGCTTAATTCCCTGGGGAGGCTGGCCCAGGCATCTGGCCAAACTCTGCTTCTTAATTAGTTTGTGTGTCTCTTACTGCCTGGCCCTTCCCATAGGCCAGAAAAGGAAAAAAGGCGGAAGAATGCAGCAAGGACTGAGAGAGGCTGGGCTGTGGGGAAGAGGCCGCTGAGTGGGTCCCAGAGGCCTCAGCCTCCCCAGGGCAGGGGAGGACACCAGGGATGTGGGGGGGGGTCCATCTGCTTTCTTCTTTCTTCCCAAGGTTTCCCGACAGCCTCACTGTCTCCTTAAGAGGTGGCCTAAAGAGGGACTTCACTGAGGCCTTTATTTCTTTGTCACTACACTTCAGGGGCTCTGGAGAGTGACAGAGAGACCTCCTGTTTGCTGCTGTCCTCCACCCTATCCTCCCTTGGAGTGCCCTTGGGTAGATTTGGCAAACCCATCTCCTGGCCATCCCTCTCCTCCATCCCCTCCACCCTTTCCAAACTTCTCCAGGGCTGCACAGAGCCTATCTGGAGGAAGCTCCTTTGAACCTAGCCTGGAAACCCCAGCAATGAGTGCAGGGGTTGGGGAAGAGGTACAGTGGTCTCTGCAGACCTGGATTTCAGAGTACTTCGGGGCCAGAATTTAGTCATTGGCTTATCTGCCCCCCTCATTTCTTGGTATTGTCTCCCCTCTCTTATATGCCTGGGTTCAAGCTGCTCTCAGCGCGAATCAAGGTGAGTTGTATGCACTGGGGCCAACTCCAGAGTCTTGGGTGACCTTTCCACCTGCCCTTGGAAAGTGTGGCTCCAGGGAAGACTGGGGCCTAAGGGGAATTGCTGGGTGGAAAGTCTTCATCCAGGTGGATGGAGAGAGAGGAAGATATACTATGAGGAGAAGGATGGTAAGAAGTGGCTGCTGAGTTTCTTGTGATGGTAGACGCTTTGGCCAGATACAGCAGAAGGGAGAACACTTGTAGGGCTGGGTCTGGGGTAGCAAGTAGTATGGAGAGCTGGTTTCCTGCGTCCCACTTTTTCTCTATGCCCCAAGCAGATGAAGCAACTTGAGAAGGAGCAGAGTGTAGGGGTGAGGAATGGTCACTCGTGTCCATTATTATATGCCAGCACCCAGCATGGTGCCTGGCACACAACAGCTCAGCAAATATTTGTTGCATGGAGGAAGGGCCATTGTTGGGGGAGTTTGAGGAAATGCTTCTTGAAATTCTTTCCAAGAAGTCTGTCTAGAATGGTTTGCAGCAGGGTAGTCAGGCATTCTTTGGGGGTCTCTGCTTAGGGAGAGCCCCCGAGTCTTAGACTGGTGGCCGTAGGGAACCTCAGAGAGGAGGAAAGAGAAGAGGTTGGAAGACTAGTGTTGTCTTGGCAGTGAGGAGGGAGGTAGGTTTGACTCAAGACACAAAAGAAAAAAGTGTGCCCTGGGCTGGGAAGCCTAGCCCCTTCCCCTCTGCCCCCAGGCCTGTGTGGCAGGGGGAGGGGCAGATTAACATGCAGGCTGATTTGAAGAGAGGGAGGAAGAGCAGGATGTGTAAAGCAAACCCATCAGAATCTGGTCTGAGCCTCTGCTGAGTCTCTGCTGAGGCTGGTAGGAGGCAGGTGCCCGGCTTCTCTCTGAGGTTCCTCTTGCTGGCTTTGAGCTGACCTGTCTGCAATAGGTCTGGGGAAGTGCTCTCAGTCTGGCCAGGTGGCTTCACTCTTCTTTGGGGCACAGATGTCACAGCAGCCACTAGACCAGATGGTCTATTTGGAGCGGGTTCCTCCCCGCCTCCCAGTCTCCTGGCCCAGTTTGTTGTGCTCCTGGAGGGATCCTGTAATCTGCTTTCTAGCGGGCCAGGGGGTGGGCTGGCCCCAGAGGCCTAGCTCTGGGGCAAAGGCAGCAGCCGGTGAAGGAGGAGGAGTATCCTGTGTGAGAGTAGCATCGGAGGACACCCCACCTTCCTCCTGGCGTCCTCAGCTCCTCCCGTAGCCACGGACTTCCAGCCAGGGCCAGGTCGACGGGATCCTTCCCCCTTACAAAAACACAACAAACCCCTGGATTATTTAATATGCAGGAGTGGGAATTGACATTATCCTTAAGACAGGTTGTTTGCAACTTACTGGTGGAAGTCAAAATATTTCACCAAAGGTGTCATCAGAAACTACTATCCTATGCTAATTTTTGTGGGAACATGAAGACAGATGTTGAATAATTTGACAAGAGCAACATAGCTTACAGAATTATCACCAAGTCAGGGTTTTTTTTCCCTCCTCTGAGGGGTGCGGAGAAGGAATTTCAGGAAGCGTGTCTCCCAGTGCCGTCTTCTGGGTATTGATCTAGGTGTGGACACTCTTGGGATTTTCACTGGAGTTTCTTCCCCGTGCCTCGAACCTGCCTATCCACATCTGACTCTGCCCTGGAGAAGGCATCGCATCAGAAAACTGTGGTCCCCTAAGAGCTGACAGAAGGCTTAGGGTTTTCAAAATGTCCTCAAGAAGGTCCATGCCTCTGTCCCGCCTTCCTTCTCAGTTGTGGAAACTGCATTAGGAAGAGAGAGAGGACCGTGTGTCCCCCAAATCTAGGCTGTTGTGTTTGCTTTGCCACCTCTTTTCTCAATGATGTTGGCCCCTGAGCCTGCCTGAGGGCTCCCCTGGTGTCAGGCCAGAGAGCACCCCCTTAAGGTCGAGATCTGCATGATGTCCCCTCCGATGCTACAGGCTGGGAATCTGTGTGTCCTGGCTGGCTGGGGTTCTTGGGGTGGTGGGGGTGGCGGTTAGAGAGGATTTTATTAGTCAGGAAGGCACCCATGAGGGGGTGGGCTGGGGCCATGATAAGGGCCTGCTTGTAATTGGCCAGGCTTGGCTGTGGGCTGCTGGGGCCGGGTGGCAAAGCCTCATTTAAAGCCTGGTATTAGCTCTGCTTTGCTGGAACATGGAGGGACGGGCGGGGGGGCTCCATAGGGAGAATGGAGGGAGCTAATCACAGCAGCCAAGGCTGGCAAATGAATGATGCAGGAAATCAATACTGGGGTGGGGGTGGGGGGGCGGGAGTGGAAATCGGGCTGTGGTAGCAGCCCTGACTTCTCTGGCTGCCCAGGAGGCACAGGCAGACCTGGGAAGAGTGAGACAGAGGCAGGAGTGTGGTGCCCCCGCTTCACATCCTGTCCTCATCACCCCCCATTCTGCCTTCCTCCCCCCACCCGCTTCTGCCTTGCGTTTCCTTGTGGCTGGACTCAGGGAGACTGGGCCAAGAGATGCCTCGCCCAGCAAAGACGAGACCTGGGAGATGGAACTTAAGGCTTCTCAGTCCTGCAAGAACCCTGCCCTATCCCTACCTGCCTCCCGACACCTGAGCCTGACTAGGCCCCAGGTGCAGGGGTATGTGCCTAGGGATGCTGCCCTGTGCAGCTGGCACTGCCACTCCAGATGTAGCCAGCAGGGGGCGGGCTTGGCCACCACATTGCTTATTGCTTTTCCTGGACTCGCTTGGCCTCAACTGTGGTGGGATGAGACTTGCTCTAAGTCCTCAGCTTGGGGCCCACAGGGGCTCCTTAGGCCTTCTCAAGCTCCAGGCCTCCCTTCAGCTATCATGTTTCCCCTCCCAGTGTCCCAGGGCATTCCCCTGTAGTCAAAGCCACATTTCCTAAGTCCCCGAGGCCAGAGGAGAGCCCTAAGGTGGGGCTCAGCCCGCGGGTTCCTACCCAGATGGGGCTGTGTGCAGAGCAGGGGCTCATGCCCTGGCAGAGCTGCCTCTTCGTGAACCTGGGATGTGCTCCCTCTCC